GGATATGCGTACTTTTAGTACTGATGGATTATTTTACTAAGTTTACTGAGATATATCCGTTAATGAACATCGAAGCTAAAACAGTGCACGAAGTTATTTTCAAAGGTTGGATTCAGCGATATGGATGCCCAAGCACAATTTATTCTGACCAAGGCAAACAGTTTGAAAGTAAACTTTTCCAGCAAATGTGCAAATTATTGCAAATTGACAAAACCAGGACCACACCTTATCACCCACAGTCTGACGGAATGGTGGAGAGAATGAATCGCACAATAAAAGACATGCTTTCAAAGTATAAAAGTGCAAACTAGACAGATTGGGACAATTATATTGACGGAATTGTTCTTGCGTATAACACTACCCCGCATGAGACGACAGGGGGTTCACCATACAGACTAGTATTTGGACGAGAAGCTAGGTTGCCGATTGATGTTATTACCAGAGATGAGAATAACCTGTGTCCAGAGATCGAGCTGAACAAAGCAGAGAATGTCTGTTTGTTGGAAGAAAAATTTATCGAAATTCACGAATATGCCAGAAATTTTAAAGAATTCATATTTCGATCGAAATGTGCATGAAATTAATTACGACATTGGTGATTTAGTAAGACGAAGTCAAACAAAAGGCTAAAGGAACTACTATAGTAAATTAAAATTAGCCAGAAAATGGACAGGGCCGTGGACTGTTTGAAAAACGGTTGAGTGATGTACTTTACCAAATAAGACATTCCTCCCAATCAAAACATGCCGACAATCTTAAACCGTACAAAGGGGACCAGAGACAAACTCTCGAGTCTGAAGAATCCTAATACACATGTGGCGAGACACCAGATGTGCGCTACCGACGCGTGCCAGCTGCGATCAAGCGACCCGACCGCACTCGTTTGAAGTCACCGCCAGTCACCCCTTTGACCGTTGCTGCCGGAGCAGAACAGTCACATGCCGATAGCCAATCAAATTACGATACAGAGGAAGTGTATAAGGACCGCCTCTCAAGTCCCCTAACCAAAACGACTCGTTTTGGTCGACTAGTTAAGAGACCATTAAGATTCAGAGACTGACACTTTCAATTTGGATTTAAATGAGATAAGATGAGATTTTTATGCGATATTTGTGGATTTTTGTTTATTCATCAGTGGAATTTAAAAGAACAGCACCATTCCTAAAGGCCAGCAACTTTTCCTGCGACCATCACACTTGAAGAGACATTACAAGAACCTGCACAAACTTGATGAAGTGAGTGTGAATGAAGAGATGAATCGGACTCAAGGAGGCAGCGTTACGTGTAACAGAGACTTCTATCATTCGTCAAAGAAGCTTATATATGTGTTGAGTGACCTGTACGAGGATATTTCTTCTGACGAGGATGAGGTCATTCGTATGGAGGAGAAGCCCTAAAGCTGTGATCTGATGGAAGACTTAGAAATGATTTCCGTTAATACGAGTGATTTTGGAGATAGAGGACGATGACCTGTTGAATTTCTGCGAACTCAAAGATGAGCGAACTGTCATGGCCCTGAGTGACAAAGAAGACTAAATTGAGGAGGATCTAACCGTCGAAAGAAACGTGGAATTCAGAGACACAAGTAGTGAATTAAGTAGTGATCATAGTGATACAGTGCGCGAGAATTCCACCATGACAAAGTCAACCGTGTGCTTGCTTCTAAACAATACAACCAGGAATTACCCGGACGGTACGATGGAGGTTAGCCGTGACATTCATGTAGTTTATTCAGAGGATTTATATTCGAGGGACATTGACTATGAAAGTGTAGCTTCGGAGGTATTATCAGAGATTCCGAGACATTTCGAGGAGGGAAATGTTAGATTCGCGTGTGGAGACTTTACCCATTTGTGAAAAAAAACGAACATATTTGACTGTAAATATTGTCTCAATTTATATTTAAATGTACATTCAACTTATAACTTATGTTAATTTTGATGTTTATGTGTATTATTATTATCTTTTGAACGTAGCCAAAAGTTAAGCGTGGGGGGGTTGTAGTAATTTAGGGTAGTTAGGAAAGTTTTGACCTAGTCACTCGTTTGTTTTGTTTATATGCTATGCTTTGGATTTATCGTCATTAATAAGTTGTAAACTTTATGCTGTGTTTTCATTTAAGAGAAAAATGAATATTATAGTTTTGTGGATGGAATAATAATTATTTAGGATTTACATGTTCGGAAAATAATAAGCCCTACATATATACTTAGTTATGGCGAGAAGGATGCTTCTTTCAAATTAGTAAATTTCAGGGCTCTAAATTTATCATTATAGTGAAAATGCATTTAGTCAGCCTGTTTGTTGAATGCTATCAGTATTTGTATTATCTATCATTGAAATTTTAAGTCTAGGTTTCTGCATGCTGTTATTTAGCCAAAAAATGCCGATTTCTTTTATTTGAGATTTCTTTTCATTAAAATATTTTATAATAATTAAAGTTGATTTATATTTTTAGAGTATGCCATTGGAGAATATGGGTTTGCCAAATTTTGCTTTTGTAGCAGAAAATAATACTGTTCACATTGTTGGAACAGAGAGGGGTAGAAAATTCCTCGATTGCGTCGAGGATATTGTGCTAAATTTCAGCAGATTTTTCAACCAAGATTGGTTTAAACATTGATACTTGTTTTTATGTCAATCGCTTGCTGAACTTGTACATAGAAGTTTACTTTGAATTACTGCATTGTTTTAATAATGGGAATAATTTGTGCGTGATTCTTGGATATTGTTGTAATTTTATTATAATGTGTATTAATTGTAAATATACTTTAAAACTAACTTTGCGTAATTCATTCGATGATTTGAACTAAATTTTTATATTTATTTTAAAGGGAGACCAAAAAATGACACTTCACGTTCTGGAAAACATCCAGATGAGACGGTATGGCAACGGCACGCAGTTTGGATCCACATACGTTGTGTTTTCATACACTGCCTACAGAACAGTCAAGGTCTGGCTCATACACGAGAAACACCTCAACACCATCAAAGCTGAACAGAATTATGTTGCCCTGGAGGCTGTGACATTGCAGGATAACACTGTTAAGATTGGCCAGCAATCAGTTGTTTCAACTGCCATAATCATATAATACTACATATAAGTACTATACAAATGCTAACGCAAATTTCAGTAATCAATTACAGTATAATAACAAAATTGTACAATTAATTTTGATCATATATTCAAAATTTAATAATTATGTGTAGCAAAAGCATTGGCAATCAATGGGCCACATCGCTCACTTGAGAAGCCTTGACTGTTTTCTCTACCAGATTTCCCCCTTGAATCCAAAATGCATCCCCACCCTACCCCACTGATCGTAATTTAGACATTTTGAAATCTTCGCTACCCAAGGATCCTCCCATGTGCACATATATTTCGGTTTTTCTGACCCAGTGGTTCTTGGAAACAAATTGTCACAGATTTTTCCTATATATATGTAAATCTTTGATTCCCCATTTTGACCCCATCCTTGGTCATGATTTGAACAATTTAGAAGAATCTACACTACCCCAAGATGCTTCCACATAAGCTTCAGCTTTTCTGGCCCAGTGGTTCTTGAGAAGACGATTTTCAGATTTTTCCTATATATTTCTATGTAAAACTTTGCTTCCCCATTGTGGATTCACCCTCCCCCAGGGGTCATAATTTGTACAATTAAGAATTTACTCTACCCCAGAATGCTTCCACATAAGTTTCAGTTTCTTTTGGCCCACTGGTTCTTGAGAAGATTCTTTAATGACCCAACCCTATTTTTGTCTTTTTTTGGTTATCTCCCCTTGTGAGGGGACTTGGCCCTTTATTTTAACAATTTTAATTCTCCTTCAAGCACTTTGTACTAACTTAATATGGTCAAAATTAGCCCAGTGGTTCTTGAACAGAATTCGAAGAAGTGAAAAGTTAACAGACAGACCGACGGACGGATGACGGACAAAATGTGATCAGAAAACCTCACGTGAGGCTCAGGTGAGCTGAAAAGAATTCTAGGCCATCTTTACACATTGAAAAGTCGACGAAATTATCATCTATTTCCCAAAAATGACAGGCAAACGAGGGATGTTTACTCTTCCTTGGCATCTAATCCCACCTCTGATGTTTTTGATTTGTTTTGCTCTTATCTGCTCAAGTCAAAAAGACTCTTGAGCAGCAAAAGTAGCGAAATCTTGACATGAGCCAATGAAGGAACTAATTAATATTGATCGCTTGTAGAGCTCAACATTAAACCGTACAATGTAAATTCGTATGAAAATTATAATGGAATAAGCGGAGCATCATTATCATGAGTGGTTCTACAATATTCGTGAATATTCTCCTATAATTTCATGTTTATAAAATAAAAATTGGAGATTCTGCTCGGTCTTATTTTTGAGTCCCTTTAGAATTTTGGTTTAGGTCTAAACGGTACGTGTGAAAACGGAACCTTGATAATGCAAAAGAGCACTTGGACTAAATGGCACTTAAGAGCGAGTCTACGAGAAAATCATGCAAGATTAAAAATTTGTTACACAAGTCACATTTTAAAAAGATGATTTTAAATACATAATTTTGAAGAGAATTGACATATATAACTATTGTGAAATTTTTTTTAACAAAGGTGTCCTCCTAATCGAGATAGCCCCGAATCTAATTATAGCCCACAAGTGGGCTGGATTTTCAAGGAAAAATAGCACTTTTATCAGCCCTTCAAAAAAATAAAATGAATCAATGATTTCGAAAATTTTTGTGTTTTATGTTGAATTAATAAGTATATCTTTTTGTTTATAGTTGAATTTTATTTACCAGATCTTATTAATTTGGGAAATTCAAAAGGTTTTATAAGAGAAAATTCACTTTACTTTTTATATCTCTATGAGAAACGCAGTGCTGTGTCTGATACAACGGGTGAACTTTTGTTTATAATTATCCATCTGATTAAATTAGTTATTTTACACAACATATTTCAAGGAATTTCTTGGATTTACAATGAATCTCGAGATTTACACTTTTGAATCTCTTTATTTTTTACCGAATTATCGATCTTTTCGAACTCTTCAGTGCATGAAGAGTAAAAAAGTCATTATTTACATGGAGGGAAAATGGCAGCGATGTCGTCGGGTATGTGTGATTTTGGTGAAGATTGTGAAGAAACGGCGATATATTATTTGAACGGCTGTGTTAAACAAACCTTTCACCACCTCAAATATTTGGACTCTTAACTCTCAGGGTATAGATCTGCCCGAAAGTTATTTAATTCTATCCAGAGCGGGTATCGATGTAATCACATTAGCACAGCTAAACAAGAATCAGATGCGTGCTTGGTCTGTACTGGAAACAGAGCGAGAGATCTTGTGTACATCGCTTTCATGGTTTATCTAAAACGAAACCAGACTGAGGCATCACACCAGTTTTGAGCCGGGAATTTTGGTTGCGTCTACAGCTATCAGTCCCAATAGATGAAGGTAATAAGAAATTTGTCAAACTGACTAAGTTATGAAATAATATCCTTGAATTATTATACTTAAACTTGATTTTTTTCCTAAACAAGTCTTGAATATATATGATTCCTAAACTTGCTACTTATGTAGTTAAAAGTTTATGGCAACAAAATGACATAACAATAGGTTTAGCTGCAGCAGATCTATAACTCTCCAAAAAAATACATAATTATGACAATCCTGTAGAGCTATTGTGCTAGTTAGAATAATCTAACTGTGTCTTGGAACATGCCCTCACCACAGTTCGAATTCGTCCCATATACTTGCAATGTAGCAAATTGGAGCGGATCCACTCCGAAATGATTTTGAAGAATATAAAAGGATTGGCACTGGAAATAACTACCAAATTAATTAAAACAAACCTTTTTGAGATTGCTTATGTCTTTCCCAAAAAATAATCCATATAAAGACGAAAATCCAATAAATTTTGTGAACATTTTTCTGCCATGTTTACAATCGGAACTCTCTAGATTGTTCATAGTTTACAGTGGTAAATGCACTGATTACGAGTTATCACCCGTGTTTCTTTTGCTACATTACGAATACATGGAACGAATTCTATCGTTAAACCGGGTCCGTAGGACATTTATCATTTTAACGATAGAAGATTCTATCTACTATTGTGACACCCATTGAAAAAAATGGATATTCATTGCATACAAAATGTTGCACATAGTTCTGGATTAATTCTTCCAAATTCGTACCTCAGTCAGACAGTAGGAAGAGCTTAATTGTTCAAATCATGACCCCAGGGGGTTTGGCGGAGCCACAATGGGGAATCAAAGTTTTACATAGAAATATAAAGGAAAAATCTTTAAACATCTTCTTCTCAAGAAGCACTGGGCCAGAAAAGATGAAACTTGTTTGAAATCATCCTGGGTTAGTGTAATAAGTCTAATTATGATCAGTGGGTTAGGGGGGTACCATTATGTATTACAAGGGGGAAATCTGGTTAAAAACAGAATTGTCAAAGCCATTCAGGTAACGATGTGGGCCGTGAGCCTCTTGTTTTTTTTTGTTAGTTGGAGTTGGTAAATTGACCAAATTATGCACGCCAAACAAGACACTTATTGATATTGGATTTGTCCCTTATTATATACAGGTCCATATTTGCCCTGCACCAGATTTGTATTTTTTTAAATTGAACACTGTTTGTTATTTCAATATATTTTCTTTTTAGTTATACAGAGTTGAGCAGCTGACCTATTCAACCATTGCCTCAATACCTCCACTTAATCTTAAAGATTGCACTGAAGTCAACGGTATGATGTTTATGAATGGTTTCATTAAACTTTCAGACTATGGAAAATCATTAATAAGAAAAATATCTTGTATCTTTAAGTCGCCGGAGTTTTTCAGGTGACATTTTTCTATTAAAATTTGTCTGTCATGCGTAGATTATAAATTTTACAATTCATGACCCCTGAGGGGGGTAGGGTGGGGGTGCACAATATAAATTTGCAAGGGGGAGATCTGGTTAAGAACAGCATCATGGCTAAAGTTCATGGCCAAAGGATGAGCAATGTGGCCCATAGGCCTCTCTTTTTGTGATTACTAATAATTTTATATGAAGTTTAAATACATCATGAGAAGGATTTTCTACATTTTTAGATGTTAACAACAATGCTAATCCTGCTGAAGAAACTTCAGGCAGCAGAACAGTTTGACAGTGTCCAAGCAATAGCCAATGAACTTACAGAATAAATGGCTGTGACTGAAACTCATTAAGTTTAATATTTTTGTACCGTAGTTTTACTTATATTGTTTATATAAATAATACCTGTACTCAGATGTGTATCCCTCATATAATTACATTTAATTCATTGACATTTATTAAAGTGGGAATTGATCAACTTCGAGGGTTTCAACAAACTATATCATTTTGTTGAGATGTTATTTCATTGATATTCTGTAGTGTATTTTTCAATAGTACATTATAGAATTAAAGTACATCTTTCCCGAATTTTTTTTTATTTTTTCTCAAACATGGTACATGTACTGGGGTAAAATAATTTTTCAGAATGTTAATGTAGAATTTTGAATGTTTTTTTTTTTCTTTTTCTATAAAACTTCCAATACAGTTTTATAGATTTACAGTTATATTGCATATAATATTACCTGTACTTGAATTTATTCCATTGTGGTTAAGTAAATCCATTCCGTTAAAATGGTATGAAAATTGCATCAATTCCTGTTTTAATTTTTTAGCAATTGTGGCCTTATGCTTCAAAGGATTATTAGAAGTTTAAAATTATTAAATGTGGTCTTAAAAGTACATTTCAACCCGATGTCTTCCAAAGTTCCAAACATACATATCTGTGGAGCTCATTAATTTATCAATCATCATACTCTCCTTTTACTATACTTACTGAAGATATTTGATATTCAAAGTATATTTGAATACAGATGTGTACATTATATTGTAATGGAATACTTTATATGCACCTGGATCCATAGATAAGGGTCGTACCGGTATATTGTTTTGTCCTATTTGTCTGTTTATCTGTTTGTCTGATTATCTGTTTTTCTGTTGTCAACTTTAACCTTTGCCATAACTTTTGACCTTGTGACCTTGACTGAACTATATATTAAAAATAACTTTTCAGAACTTTGTTGCCAAAGGGCTTATAGTGTTTCACAAACACATCTTAGTTTTATTGAATCATCTTTAAAAATATTAGTGAAGTTAACTCCCTCCAAACCCTTTGAGGTTTAAAAATAATTGCTAGAATGGTATATTAGTGTAATCTTTTCAGAATGTTGTAATTGAGGAAAAATTTATATTTATTGTAGTACATGTAGATTATTATGTTCATTTTACAAAATATGTAATAAATATTTACATTTGTAACATTAAAGAACTAGGTCTAATATGGACTGAAATTGGCCTTGTTGATTTAAAAATTGGTAAAAGTTTGTTTTCATCATAACTTTGTTATATTTTATTATCCGACAAATTCCAATTTGCGGTAAAAACACTATTTAATGAACTTTCAAGGAACAAAAAAAAAATTCTCTCTTAACTGTGTATCAGGTTTTATGGCTCTTAGAATTAAGGCAAGAAAAATCTATTTTTAGAACATCTTGAGATAATTGGAGTTGTCTCCCGCTGAAAGTTTAACAAATTTAAAAGTTTTATAATGGAAATGATTAACACTGTTCATATGTGTATAAAATACATCATATCTTTTCCCAGAAATTTGTTTGTAATAAAGTAAAGCTGTAAAGGTAACTGGTATTTTTCATGTGTTTTATAACATTATGACCATTTGCCAATGACAAACATAGATGGTGTTCATGTGCACTATGCTGATCAGCAGATTTTGACCAAATTTACAGAAAAATCTTACAATACCTTGAAATGAATAAATATAATAATGGGAAGTGAAATTAAGAACCTAACATGAATAGCTCTCTGCATGGTTTTCTCATAGACTCCCTCTTAAGTCAAAAGGGCACATGGTTAAAATGAATCTGATGAAAAAAGTATATATGCAATGATACTGTGATATATATTTCCGTCTGAGTATATAAAAGTATATATTCTGGGAGGATGCATTTTTCCAAGAAAACAAATAATCCATTATTTACTCTAATAAGTTTCTATGAAGTCTTTGTTACATATATGATTAAATTCTCTATGAACCTATGCATGTATACACTTTTCCTCACAAATTCGTACATTTGAATACCAAATTTGATTTTTTTTTCATTTTTTTGTTGTTGAAATATTTGTATCTTCATCCTGTAGCGTTTCCGAGCGGTTTAAGTTAATTCCTTCTGGTGGAATTCCAATGTCAGTGTGATAATCCTAAGGTATTAATTCATAGGTTTTTTCCTCGTCATAAACTCAATAACTAGTTACAAATGTTTATTAAATCTAAAGTAGAATAGAATACTTATACTTACTTACTTTGTATAAAAGCAAGTTAGTCTATTCACAAACTTAAAACTATTTACACTATCTTCACTGTTCTTCTTTATATCTACTCTCCTTCTACCCGAACTTTTACCACTCTGCGCGCCCAGGGTGGTCCTCGTACTCGGAAGGTGAATTCCCCTGACTATGTCCCTAATAGTTCTTTAGCCCTTTCATACAGTTTCTTCTTATTTTCCCTTTCAGTTCTTGTCAGGTCATTTTCATCACCTGCATACGGAGTATTTATATCTCAGTTGATTCGATACGCAAGAGCATGCTCTACGTATGAACAATTTCTTAAACGAGGTAAATTATTGACAAGCAAGTTGATGAAACAAGAATATCAACAGTCTCGTTTAAAATCATCATTTCGTAAATTCTATGGTCGATACAATGACCTTGTCAGCAAATACAATTTATCATTGAATGAAATGCTGACTGACGTTTTTCATACCAATTGTTAGTCCATTATTTATACACTGAATTGACCACGGATTTTTTCCGTTACTTCCTGATTATGACAACGAGCACACGGCGGGTGTGACCGGTCAGCAGGGGATGCTCACTCCTCCATGGCACCTGATCCCACCTCTGATGTTTTGGAGGTCCGTGTTCGCTCTGCTCTTATTTTGTATATTTGTTTAATGGACGTTGAGATTGAATACTGTTCGTTATTTCCATATCCTTCTTGCAATTCTCACCTTGGCAAACTCCAAGTGATCCTTCAAGGATTTTGCACCTTTAAAAAGTTCCACCTTCTTTTTTGTTGGAAGGGTAACAAGCATTGGGCGACTTGCCTTTTCCTTTTTGAATTTCCCTAAACGTACCACTTTACTGATGTCGGAATTGTCAATATTTGTTTTGCATCCCTTTCCTATAGCCTGCAACTTCTCGTAGTCAAAGTTCCGTCGTGTCTCACTAGATTCTGACTCACACTCCTCAATTCCATATACCACCATGTTATTTTCCCGACTTTTCCTCTCATATGGAATATGATCCAAGAAATTAAAACAAAATAAATCAAAATATTAATGAATGAAAGGCACTATAAAATCACTCCTATATCTAACTCTATCTACTTCTGTAAAGTCACAGAGGTGACCGAGCAATTGTAACTTTTTAATTCCACAGTGTATATATCCAATTGTAATTCAGTTATCCTTGATTAAAAAATCCTTGGAATTCTTGTAATGCTAAATCCAATAAAAAGTCAGCAAACAGTGCAATAACTTATTTACATATATACATTTATTTTACATTTATGCAATCATATGTAACGTTTCCGACCGGTCTAAGTTAATTCCTTCTATTGTAAAAAAAATCCAATGACAATATGATAATCCTTGGGTATAAAATCATATAGATTTTTCCTCGTAATAAAACTCAATAACTGGTTACAAATGTTTATTAAATCCAAAGTAAAATAGAATATAATCCAAAGAAATGAAAACAAAATAAATCCAAAAAATAATGAATGAAAGGCACTATAAAATCACTCCTATATCTAATTCTATCGCTACCTCTATATCAAAATCCCACATTAAAATCTCACTAATTATTTAATTATCCCGTTTATATACTGATTATTATACTCTATTGACTCCTCTTACTCCACATGACTCCCCGGTGTGTTCTCCGAACGGCTACTGAAATAAAACAACAAGTAATTATCACACTCAATTAAGGGGCCCTCTAAGGGGCACAGGTAGACTTACCTGTGTTTTCCTGGATAAGCAATAATTTATAAATCAGATATATTCATTCAATTTTATTGAATTTTTTTTATTTCATTCAATTTTTTTTTCAAAAATATAATGAATTAATAATATAAATAGATAAAATTAAGATTTCAGAAAATAATTTATTTTTTTTTTGGTACCTTTAATTTTATTTTTTCCAAACTTTTCAATAGTATTGATTGAGAATTTACAAACAATTGTTTGTGCTAAATTTTCAAAATCTTTTAAATATCAAATTAACACATTAAAAAAAAACATTTTTATGTATGATAAATAAATTGTTTATATAAAATTTTGTCTAAATTAATTCATTTATTCATCCTTTTTAATTATTAAAACAGTCTTTTAACTCATCATAAAATACAAAAGTTATGTTTTAATTTTCATATTAAATATAGATGATTCGAGATAAAAACAGATCACTTTGATTTTTAAGGAATTCCTAAGTTAATAAGCTAATTGATGAAGCACCTGATAATTGATATCAGTTCACTTTGAAATTTTAATAGGCAAAACTATCTCAATAAGTGTCATAGAAAATGATGTTCTGAACTGTTCTGCCTAATGATGCAGTCCAAGCTGTAAATACAAGAACAACCCAAGCTACAGAATAGTATCTATTTAAGGATGGACATGAAGTGCTGAACTTGCTTAATGATGCAGTCCAAGCTGTAAATACAAGAACAACACAAGCTACAGAACAGTATATATACAAGGATGGAAATGAAGTTGCATCATTCTTCACCCATCAACAATGGCGAATGCACAGCTCAACGTGAAATTCATCACAAACAGAAGAGGCGGCCAAAACTTATCCTTTCAAGGTTTCATCTACAGAATTCACCGAAGAACAGACACCAAGCTCTTCTGGAGATGTGTTGTTGCAGGATGTTCAGCAGGCCTCTCCACAGAAAACAACGTTCCCGTAGGATTCGGAAGACAGCTCCACGCCCATCCTGCGGATCACACCGAGGTTGTTGCCAAACAGATCATGAACCAGATTTCAAGGCGATGCACAGAAGAAGTGAAACCCATACCTTCAATCTTCACAGAGGAACTCAACAAGCTGCGAGACAACGAGTGGGATGACACCAGCAGAGAAGTCATCGAGAGATTGCCAACCTTCAACACGGCCAGGTCATCACTTTACAGAGCTCTCCGGAAACAGACTCCACCACTTCCAAAGACAGCTGCTGACATCCGACTTGAGGGGAAATGGACAGAAA